GAGAGAGAGAGAGAGAGAGAGAGAGAGAGAGACAGATAGAGCGAGACAGTGAGTTAGAAAGGAGAGGGAGAGAGGGGGGAGAGGGAGATAGAGAGAGAGACAGACAGACAGACAGATTTTTCTCAGTTGGTATGACTATAAAATTGACTATGACGCTTTATTTTTTTTTAAACGACAATAACTTACATTTTGTTTAGCAGAAAATGGAGAAAGAACACAGCTTATTTCTTCAAGAGGAGGAACAATAAAGGTTCTCTTATTATCCTGTAAACTATAAATCTTATATACAACTACATCCCCACTGCTGTTTCGTGGTCGGCTTACTACGCGTCTACAAGTTGACTAGGGGTCGTCTGACGTGGAAAAACCCATTGCTAGCAACATCACAAAGCAGGTCGGCAGTTTGTCTATTTTTGCCAACAGCAGAACAAAGTCAAAGCCAGGCCAAAACAACGCAATCGTCGTCTATGTTCTAACAGCTACGACTCCATCTACGTAGCCATCCTATGCACGTACTTTTGAAGAGGGCTGCTTGGACCCTACCTGTCTGGGCTATCCTTTCCTAGGGTCCAGTTGAGAGAGGGGGAGGGAGGAGGTACAGCACCCAAGCTCACAGACAAAGTTATTTGATAAAAGACTTCCCCACGTGGAAATCACCTCTCTAGCGAGCTACATGTAGCCTACTGCCCAGAAAGAGCCTGCCATTGCATTGTACACCAATGACGTTGGCTTAACACCATCACTAAGATTAAACCCTTACAGGGGAGATTATCCATTGAGCTCACGGCATTAAAGGGGCGAAAAATAAGTAACAGACAAGACTATAAGAGCGATTATAACGATGTCAATTATAATTACAAGAGCGACGGTAACGCCCATAAAATCGCCAGCACGAAACATTGAAAGTAAAATCCTCAAATACAATACATGTTTGTAACCATATCTCCTTTACAAAATTCAACATTAACCCATCACATAAAAACTCTGATTATCATCTTTTTATTGAAATAAATAGCACAACTTCCTGAATTCATGAAAAACTCTCCGACCAGAAATTGTTGCCATAGCCCAATACTTGTATGGCAGCACTGGAAGACCAGGGGCTTGTCAGAAAAAGTGCTTAAATCAATAGTTGTTGCATATATATTCTCAGAATATCAAAACTTCCAAATCTCTTTCATTGACTTTATTTTTGTATTTTGGAATGCCTTAAAGACAACAATTCCATGTCAGATCAAATTTGGAAGAAAAAAAATGCATCAAAGTTGCAGACTCTCTTATTACATAACAGAAAGAGAAAAGACAATAAAAAATGATTTACTTGGTTTCCTAATTTATTCTTTTTTAAATTTGTGACCTAAGATTGTTTGTGTTTTTGCCTTTCATTAAGTCCATTCTGACCAGTGTGACATCTCTGGCTTTCGCAGGCCGTTACATTCAATAACATACTTTACAGTACACGAAAATCATTATCAACAGCTACCATTTCAATAATACGTTTTATTCTTGGTAAAATCACAACTCAACCTTGCAATGATTATATCAATTCATTTTAATTCATCAAATCGGGCACATCAGCAGTTACATCCATGAACAAACCAGCACTGGTGTTCGTTCAAAATAACTGAATCATAGGTTATATATTACTTGAATTGCATTTTTTTCTCTACTTTAAGACTGTTAATCATTTTCTAATTTCCTCAAATGTATCTTAGCTACACAGTCACATTACAAACAATAACTTTCTTTTTACTGTAATTGCCTTTCTGTTACAAATATAAACCAGCTCCCAAAGACAAACAAATAAAACCTGTAAAATTTTTAAAAAACCAAACACCTTCCTTTCCCATATAATTCCCACAAAAAGGAAGAAAACACAGCGGAGACCACACCTGTGACTCAACAGTACAAAAA